GGTCATACCAAAAGGACAAAACTTCGGTATCTACCATAAATACTTTTAGTGATGTTCTTCAATTACAGTTGGTGTTTCACTTTAATAACATACATAAATGCATATTAACGAGATCTACATTAAATATTAATATATAACATCGAGATGAAACTCCAACATTGAATTTTTTTTAAGAGGCTTCAATTTGTAGATCTGTTTCAAACATCAGAATAAGCAGTGTGGACCAAACTACAAAGGTTAAATTTTTTAGTGTTTGATATCATACAATGAAGAGAGAATATAGCAGATCTCAGTATCTCACCAAGTACATGTTCCCCTCTGAATGAAATGCCTGTCAGTGATCGAGACAGTGACTATGAATTTGGCCATATCATTTTTATTGATGTGAATACACAACCAGTATACAGAGAGCCACCTTGCGCATTTCAAGTTAGATTTCCATAGATCCATTCATCCAATTGATGTAAGGTGATAGATAACCCATGAATTATGAAATGAAAGCAACACAGCTGCATACGTTCACATCTCACCACCAATCATGTGATTGATGCACAAACTTTACACGATAGGCAAGTGAAAATTGTTTTGGGAGCAAAGCCTTTATCTTTCTAACAGACACTTTTTAGTTGTACACATCATTCTGATTCTTTCCCTCCCAAACCTCAATATAAAAGGCAAGCCGCTTCTGCCTTTTTCCTCACATCAAATTAATTAGTCTCAAAACAATCATTTTTACATTTCATTTCTATAACACAAAAATGACTCTCTTTTTCTCAGCCTCACTTGTAATGGTAACCTTGTTCTTCACTGCATTAACCCAACACTCACCAGCAGCATCTCCCTCAATACCGGAAACACACCCAAAAGGTTGCAACTGAACGTCCCACTTACGGTGGTTCCCATGTGGACATGACCAAAGTGTTAAAAGAATATATGTCTAAATATCTTTAAGAAAAATAAATTAATTTTGATAATTTTTTTTTATATTTTAAATATTTTTAAATTTAATTTATATTGATTATTTTAAGATTTGTTTTCTTATTTTTAAAATAAGATAATATTAATATTTAATTTTGTATCACAATTTTTTTTTATAAATAGATATTCATGAATAAAGTTTTATACTCCTCTGCTAAAAAATTTATTTTTATTAAATATAAATATAAAATAACCCACCTTTAGTATCTAGAGTCAAGGTTACAACCTATGGAGATGAAAACAAAAATAAATTTTTCACAAATTTTTCTACCAATCTTTGATGAAGAAAGCTATGATCTTTGGATGGTGAGAATGGAAGTATATTCAGAGGCTTTAGATCTTTGAAAAGTTGTGGAAGAAGATTATGATGTTTCTGCATTATCAAACAATCCTACAATAGCCCAAATAAAAATTCATAAAGAAAGGAAAATCAAGAAGACAAAGGCTAAAAGTTGTCTCTATTTCACAAAATGTTTTCGTCGTATCATGACTCTCAAATTAGCAAAAATAATTTGGATTTACCTAAAGGAAGAATATGTTGGGGAAATGTATAATTACTAGGAACACAATTTCTTGATTCTAAAATTGTTTAAAAATATTCTAGCAACTATACTTAAAAGATATAAAACTTCAATAGTAGTCTTGGAGAACAAAAAGGATTTGAGTAAGTTCACTTTGGCACAGATGTTACATGTATTGCAAGTATTAGAACAAAGAAGACTTATGAGACAAGAATGAATTATGGAAGCTATGTATTTAGCCTAATGGAAAACAACAATGGTGGCAAAAACAAAGAAGAAAGAATTGTTTTAAGAGAACAATCAAAATAATAGCACTCAAAATTTTCCACAATGTCCTTATTACAAAAAGACTAATCATTTACAACAGATCAAATATTGGTGGAGACCTGATTCAAAATGTAACAAGTGGGGGCAATTAGAATACTTAAAATATGTATGCAAATCTCATGTGGAAGGTAACATTGTTGAAAATCAACAAGAAGAAGAACAACTACTTTCAATGTCATTCTTTATGACAAAAAAAAATCTTCAAAAGCTTGAATTATTGATAGTAGTTGTTCAAATCTTGATATTAATCAAAATTTGTTGAGTGTTGATTAATTGTTGAAAAAAGGCTATAAAGTATTATTTGAATATATAAATTGTGTGATTAAAGATATAAACAACAAAGAAGTGTTTAATGTTTATATGAAAGACAAAAGTTTTGCTTTAAATGTAGAGAAGAAAGAACCAATTATAAATGAAGATACAAGTGAAGAATACAAAGATGTATGTCTTTAGAAAAAGTTTAATGATCAAAAAGAGAATGAAGATGATGAAAAACATCTTCAAAGGAGAAGTTCGAGACAAATGCTAAGGTGATTCGAAGAATTGCAACAAAAATCACAAGAAAAATTAAAAAAAATCAAAAAAAGAAAAGACAGATTTTGAAATTCAAATTCAAATTAGATAATAAAGATTCAGTCAAGGAGGAATGATGAGAATATGCCTAAATATTTTTAAGAAAATAAATTAGTTTTGATAATAATATTTTATTTATATTTCAAATATTTAAAATTAATCTGTTTTGATTATTTTAGGATTTGTTTTCTTGTTTTTAAAATAAGATAATATTAATATTTAATTTTGTATCATAACTTTTCTTTATAAATATAGATCTTATGAACAAAATTTAATTATACTCATTTAATAAAAATTATATCTTTACAAAATATAAATATAAATTAATCCATCAGAAAGTTGGCATTTATGAGGTGGATAAAGTGCTTTTGCCACTTGACGTGCTTCTTCCTTATAAGCCGAATTTGAAGAATGTAAATGTAATGTGGTTGCATTTTGTTGTTTGGTTGGTTTTCATAGTTGGAGGCATGCATTGCATCATATAGATTAAGTTCATCACAATAATTTTCTTTTGTTGGATTCAAATCTCTATCTGTTGTGTTAGCTTCTGTCTAGCTAATATATCAACCAATTTCCGAGTCTCAAATATGCCATTTTGGGTCAATATTTATGCATTAGTCATTTTTCTTTTCCTACTTTTTTTCTTTTTTACTTATATCGTATCTTTTGAATCAGGTTGATCTAGTGTTGGGGATTAACCAACTATGTATAGAGTTTTATATTTAATTTTTTTTTGTTATTACAATTTTTTACTTTTAATAAAAATGACATGAAGGAGTAATCATCTCTGCCCTAACATGGCGTGAAGTAGTTATCAATGTCACAACATGAACTGATCCAAACTCATGATGCTTACAATGGACACGGTTCTAAATGACTTACCCCACTCCTATGCAAGTGAAAGAGGTGAGACCAAGAAAATCAAAAGTGAAAGTTGTGTTCAATGCATCCCAATTTCCTATGGGTGCTCAGTATTTATAGAAAGATGAGTAATATATAGCAATATACTCTTTAGAAAAAGGGATATCTCACTACAGTTAATCACAAAATTAAAAGTCAATTAATTTTAAATTGTTGACAATTTAATAGTAATTAAAATTACAACCGTCATATTATTATTATATCTTATTAAAATTGATATTAATTAGATTTTAATTAAAACATACAATTAATGAAATAACAATTTTAAATTTAAATTTAAGTTCAAAATAATATCATGAAAAAACTAATTAATTTTAATTATTTATAAGTTTTTGTTATAAGAATTTATTGAATAAGATCACAGTTGAGTTTTTTTTTTTAAATAGACCCTAAATCCCTAAGTCGAATTCCATTATTTTTGTTTGAGCCATTCTTCACCAAAATTTGTAGTTATCAATATTTTTAGAAATTAAAATTTAAGTTTAACTTAATCTTATAAAGTCCTAATTCAAATAATGAGAAATGAACATTCCAAGTGAGCATCCATAGTTGTACGATAGATCCAACATTAATTATTATTAAAAAAAATCTAATAATATTATCTTAAAAATGTGTGTTTAAATCTAACTTAATATTATAAATAAAAAATTTATCCGTCATTCAGAATATCTTTACTACTTGGATATTTTTGGTTTTTTGGAGTTATAACCAATGCATGCTATTTAAACTTAATTTTTTTTTTATCTTATATAAGATATAAATGCTTAAAAATTAAAAATTCATTTAAAATAATTAACTATAACTTTAAGTTCACATAAAATTACAAAATAAAAAAATATATAGAAATATGGATTGTTAAAAATTGTTTACTAGGTATACTATTGAAGCAAATTGTGCGGTACTTATTTATGAATTGTTTAAATATAATGTGATGTGAGACTTATTTAAGGTGAAATATAAAAAATATTCATATAATTGTATTATATGACACATTATTAAATATATCATTATATATAGTATTTTTATCTCATCACTAATCTCATGTATTTAATGTCCAAAAATATCTCAAACAATTGCTTAGCATCGAGGGAGAAAAAATTAAAAAACCATTATTTCCTTTTGCTAAAAACCCAACTGTCCTTTACACTTTAATTTACACTCAAATAGCTAACTCATATGTAAAAGTAATTAAAAAAAATATTATCTTTAGTCACGTTGAGAAAGATGAAGAGCAAGTATAGTAACACGAACAGTGCATATTTAGTTGGAACAAGTACTTGATTACTAGTCGAGTATATCCAAAAGTTGTAAAGCTTAAGCTTGTTAGGCATCAACCGCTACTTTCACCCTATTTTCATTGCAAAACAACCTTAAGCTTGTACTCTTTGATTACAATTGTATCAGCAAAAAAAAAATCACAAAATAAATATTGATTGAGATGGGAGATTGGTGTGGCCTTCAATCACAAAAACACATTGCTACCATGCATGGTACATCATCGTTGATGCAACACCTCAATATCCTTGCCAACTAGCAACTTTCTGTATATATGCTCACATATCGCAATTTCAAGTTTTTTTAAAAAAGCCTTTTACCTACCTATCATTTTCTCCCACACTCAGATTTGCTCTATAAAACCCATATCCACCATTTCATCAATGCATCAAGCTCATTCCCAATACAAAACCAATCATTTGCAATCCTTTAAACCTTCATTTACAAAAGCCAACACAATGTTGAGGAACCAATTTGTCTTGTCTTGTTCACTAGCATTGATAGTTTCATTTTTGTACTCCACCACCACTTTTGCACAATTATCACCAGGTTCTGCCCCTCTAAAACCACCCCAACCTAGCCCTACCCCACCAGTTGAGGCTCCCAAACAAGCATTAGTTCCTTCATTGCCACAATCACCAAGTGATTCCACCCCTGACACTGCAGCAGCAGTTGACATTGTTGGAATCCTAAGGAAGGCTAAATCATTCAACATCCTAATTCGTCTCATGAAAACCACCCAATTGATCAACCAACTCAATGCACAACTCCTCACTACTAAATCTGGTGGCATTACCATTCTTGCACCTGATGACAGTGCCTTCTCAGAACTTAAAGCAGGCTTCCTCAACTCTCTTTCTGATGGACAAAAACTCGAGCTTTTACAGTTCCACGTTATTTCAGAGTATGTATCTAGCTCCAATTTTGATACCCTAACAAACCCTGTGAGAACACTTGCAGGAGCTAAACCTGGAAAGGTGGAACTTAATGTTGTAAGTTACGGTGGAAGTGTAAACATCTCAACGGGTGAGGTTAACACAACCATCACTGGCATTATATATACAGATAAGCATCTTGCTATATATAAGGTGGGAAAAGTGCTTCTTCCAATGGACTTCTTTGTAGTGGCCAAGGCACCAGAAAAGGGACCCTCATTGGCACCACAACCTTCAGCAAAGGCTCCTAAACCTGATAAGGACCCATTATCCCCAGATTCCTCAGAATCATCTCAGATTAATTCCACAAACGAGAACTCTGGTAATGTGAAAATCAATGCGCATGGAAAGTGGATGACCCTTGTTCTTGGAGTAGTTCTCGTGATTTTATTGTGATCATAAACTAGAATAGGATCTGAATTTACGGACGGAGCTATTAGTTACCATGCAGTTAATACCCAAAAGTGTTAAACGATATGTTGTGTGATTGCGAGAAAGGAGTGAATGCGGCAGGGAACAATTATGAGAGAGAATTAGGGGATCTGAGCTTGTTGTTTGCCTCTACGAATTTATGATATAAATATAAACATAAGAGTTTTATTTATGTTGTGGTTGCTTCAATATTTTTCAAGCTTCATGACGTATTCTGAAGAAGAAATTTATAGAAACCAAACCGGGTACTGACTTAACCAATTTGACGTACTACGGGTTGCAGTTCAATATTTAATTTTAGGGTAAGACAATGATTAATTACAAAACGTTCTGGTTATTAATTAAAGGAGGTGGAAGAAGATTAGCCTTTTTTTTTTTGTAAAGATTAACCTAATGTAATCGAATAATACTGTAGATTGCAATATAAAAATACTTCACTCCACTTATGGCCGACTGGCCAAGGTATGTTTTAGTGTTAATGTTTTAAATTTTAAAATAAAAGAAAGACATAGATAAACCTTTTATTTGACGTATAAGTCAGGGTAATAAAGTTAGAATACATGCTAAATTATAAGATTTATTTTTTTTCTTCTTATTTTTAAGATTTATTTTTAAAAAGATTTACATCTTTGTTTATTAAATGTAGGTCAATTTAGTCTTTTGAAAGTATAATTATTTTTACTTTTAGGACATAATTTGAAATATTTTTTTATATCTTTCTTGGTTATGGTAAGATTTTATTTTTCAAATATTAGTTGAATTTCAAAATTTTCATATAAGTAAATACAAGTTTCACGTATTGCAAAGTTGATCTTGAGTTTTTTAAGACTTTGAACGAACAATTTTTTTTTTAATGCCCTCACTTATTTAAGTATTTTTTATTGCAAAATTTTTAAGATATTAAAATTATCATTAGGAACATTTACAATAGACATGTACATATCTCTTTTAAGACCATTTTTTTAATAATTCATTTCGTAAATCATTTCTAAGGTTATTTCATCTTATTGAATCATAAATGTCTAATGAAGTATATTAATTATGTTATTCAATACAAGGATATGTTTATTTTCAAGCATTCAATTTCATCATGATAAAAATATTTATTTTTATTATTTTTAACTAAAATATTTGGTTTTTCATTAATCTTATGTTGTTTTCCATTCTCAAAATTTTTAGTTTTGCTGTCTAGAATATCTAGATTTTACATCATTTTGAAGAATAACTATAGGATGTTTAACAAAAAAGAAATATATTAAAAGTACCATTTTAAGAATCAGTGTCAATTTTTATCTTTCTTTTTCATTTTAGATGACTAGAAGGTTATTTTCTAGACAATATGTTCAAATTCAAACAATTAGACAAATATAAAAAAATTAAATTATAATCTATATATGATCAAATAATCATTTAATGATTAAATAGTAATGAGATAAAATAATATTACCCAATAAACCTTATACCTTGAATTGTCAATGTTGTAATAGAAAAAAAGAATTATTGTACATCACAAACAAGTTTACTGTGACTAACATATAGAAGTTTGTAATTTAATTTTGAAATTCTAAAAGAGCATAAAAGTCACAATTAAGATTATATATATAGAGAGAGAATAAAAGAGAATAGATATAAAAGAAAAAAGAGAAAGTTCAGGATGACTATTATTATAACAATGAAAGAAGTTATAACAAATTTCTCTTTATATATATATTTAATATTATCAAATTTTTTTTAAAATTTATGGATAAATTTTTGTTAAGAGATAGAAACATCATGTTTCAATTAATTAATTTATTTTTATAAATATAAAAATTTATATTTATATTTATTTAGACTAAAAATAAATTTGGTGTCCCAATTTGAAGATGGGACTCTAGCCAATGCCCACTTTGATCATACTCAAAAGAGCCACTCACATTGAATCAGTAAGAAATTCAAAATCATGTTTCTAGAAAAGATTAAATTAAGTCAAATTTAAAAGATAAAAATATTAAAATAAAATTTAATGTATATATTTATATGTAAGAAACAAGTTCATTCATGAATTATTTATATATTATATTTAATTAAATGATTTATACATTAATATATTTAAATTTAAAGTAAAACAAAAATATATTTTAATAAAAAAATGTTAAGTTAGTTCTACCTTACTTGATCAAAATAATTACTTATTGCGTGAATACACGTGGTCCTAATCAAATAGAAAAGGAAAATTAGATTCGGAATTTATAAATATTTATACATTACGCTAAATTTATATCACTATGAAAGCCATTTTGAAACTATGTTAATAAGAATATGTATATAAAATAAAGCTGAATAAAAATTGCATTTTAACCAAAATTAATTAATTTGTTTTGTGTCTTTATTTTATACTTTAAAATATGAATATAATTTATTATGAGTTAATATGTAATGCATAAAAAAAAAAAATTAATTTCGGTGGATATTTATATACCTTCTACACTTTCGGAGCTCATATTCAACCCTGCATTCTTATTTATTTAAGTTGTATTTTGGGGATATACTCTTAACGTCTTAAGTAGTTCAAATTTGAAAAAAAAAATCCATGGAGAAGGGTCAATTGGTACAAGCCATCACAGATTTTCTCCAAAGGGAACTCTTGGATATACATTAAAAAAAAAATTTTAATTAAAATATTCTTTTTATTTTTACCTTTGAAAATCAAGCTTTTATACTCTTTTAAACGACCTAATTGATAAAAAGGATATTATTTTCACTCTCTAATTATGGGGGTGTACTTGCAGCCATCATTGATCAACTCAACTGCATGCTGTCATAGAATCGAACTCAACCCAAATATAGTCGAATCCACTACAAGCCTACAATTATCCCTTCTTGGTGAAATTAATGCATATATATAGTTCATTTTTTTCGACTACATATAAAGACTCCCACCTCATTGATGAATTACTTTAGCTTGTGGTGTATATTGGATATAAAAAGAGGGTACAGAGGTTGATTTGGCATGAAATATATAATACCTTCACACTTGATCAGTTATTTGTTCTTCTATTTTATTTGAATTGATTAATGCATCAAAAGGCGTATAATATGTGAAGAGTGAAGACTAGTTCATTCAATATGTCCATTTATAGTGCCAGTTCATCTGAAGTCGCCAGTATATCAGTAGCTCTATATATCTTATGGAAATAGAAAGCACCACAATCATGCAAACCTTTTACGTACTTCAGAGTACGCTTCTTAGGCTAACACACACCAAGTCCAAAACAAGACAACCACACACAAAGAAACAATTCTGCATGTTTTAAAGAATTTCAAAGCTGCAAAATCCACCCTCTCCATCAAGTTTGCATCGTTGCTGCCACCAATGCAAGTCCAAGTGACACCCACATTCCGTACACACTGATCTTGGTGGTGCCAGAGTTCTGTTCAGTGGGTTTAACCTGTGACGAATCCGAAGATGATGACTCGTCCTTATCAGCTTTGGGCGCCTTTGCCGCATCACTTGAAGGTTCTGGAGCCAATGAGGGACCCTTGGCAGGTGCCTTAGCAACAGCAAAGAAGTCCATTGGAAGAAGCACCTTTCCCACCTTATATATAGCAAGATGCTTATCTGTGTATATAATGCCAGTAATGGTTGTATTAACCTCACCCGTTGATATGTTCACACTTCCACCATAGCTTATCACATTTAGTTCCACTTTTCCAGGCTTAGCTCCTGCAAGTGTTCTCACGGGATTTGTGAGAGTATCAAAATTAGAGCTAGATACATACTCTGAAATAACGTGAAACTGTAAGAGTTCAAGTTTTTGTCCATCAGAAAGAGAGTTGAGGAAGCCGGCTTTGAGTTCTGAGAAGGCACTGTCATCAGGTGCAAGAATGGTGATGCCACCTGACTTAGTAGTGAGGAGTTGTGCATTGAGTTGATTGATCAATTGGGTGGTTTTCATGAGACGGATTAGGATGTTAAATGACTTAGCCTTCCTCAAGATTCCAACTATATCAACTGCTGCTGCAGTGTCAGGGGTGGAATCACTTGGTGATTGTGGCAATGAAGGAACCAATGGTTGTTTGGGAGCCTCAACTGGTGGGGTAGGGCTAGGTTGGGGTGGTTTTTGAGGGGTAGAAGCTGGTGATAATTGTGCAAAAGTGGTGGTGGTGGAGTATAAAAATGAAACTATCAATGCTAGTGAGCAAGACAAGACAAATTGGTTCCTCAACATTGTGTTGGTTTTTGTAAATGAAGGTTTAGATGATATTGGAAAGAATTGCAAATGATAGGAATTGCGATTGCAATGAGCACTTGATGCTTTGATGACATGCCGTAGTAGGGTTTTTATTGAGGCTGGAAGAATGACAGGTAGGTGAAAGGCTGTGTTATACAACCTTTAATTGTGATTTGTGAACGTATTTGGCTATGAGATTATGGTGTTGGATCATTGATGATAGAGACATACGGATATATATGATATTAGCGTGATAGAACAATGAGTTCTTGCTTGAAAGGGACATGAAAAATAGGGTGAGGCGCAGTACTGCTGGATAGGATGTAAGCAATGCAAATACAGGAATTAGATTTAGATCCTGAATGTGCTGTGAGACATACTCTCATTATCCGACAAGGATCATTGTGGTGGCGCGTCATTTAAGATTGAAACGTTGGAAAAAGTGATAGCTGAAATGAATGTGGCCAAATAAAGGAGTTGGAGAATGATCATGGATGTGTTGCTTTCAATTAGAATCTCTGTCAAATACATCCCTTTTTAGCTCAAAATAAATCGTTTTCCAGTGGATTTGGATTCAGGTAGCAATGGTTATGTAATTTGTGGGTGTCTTCATGTAAGTTATAAAATATGATTTTTAGATTCTTCTACATTTTTCCACAAAATGATATATTGATAAGTTTTCTTAGCAGATAGTTAAAATGTTTAAATATTCTTTAAATAATGAATTTTATCCAATAGTCTCTACAACAATAGAGAATAAGGGTTAAAAATAAATTTTATAGAGATTAAAATGAAATATTTTTAAGTACATATACTAAAAGGTAAAATTAATATGTTTAAACCTAATAAAATAATTATAAGTTATTATATAAATTCATTTCTAATTTTTTTTATAATTGTATGATTGACCATAGTTATAAGGATGTATAATTTTTTTTTTCATCGAACTAGTTCTTATAAAATAAAGTAATATTTCAAATGCAATTCTATATCTAAGTTAGAGATTGAACCATGATACTTAAATAAAGAATATAAATATTAAATCACTTAAATTAATAATTTTTTATATCTTTTATTTAAAAGATACATGTTAGTAACATACAAAATTTTCACAATAATTCTTATTATTTGAGAGAGATGGGATGAGACAAATGTGTTACAAAAGCAAGTTATGTAAGGAAAAGAAATAAATAGAAAAAATGATGTGAAAATTTATTATAAGTACAGTGTAATATCCTATTTAAATATATATAGAGTTAGACAGTAATATAAATTGAAAAAAAAATTAAAAAAATGTATGAGTAATTGTTTGAATGATATAATATGGTATCAGAATTTTCCTTACAACTAGTAATGAAGTTGTATGCTGTTTTAGGCTACTGATCATAGGTGAGATCTCCCTGATGTTATTTAAAATGATCCTTGGTGGTGGGATTTCATCATTAGTTTTTATTTTTTTTCTATTAAAATAATCCATACCTGTGTGCACAAACAATAAGTCATTCCCTCTCTTCAAGTTTCAAGTAGGTGTATTGCAAATGCAAAATCTGTCCTATTGGACCCTTTCTTCTTTATCTATCATTTTCCCGGTTTCTTCTTTATTGCATTTGTTCTTGTTTTTCTATGTTAAATATTTCTCCCGAACCCACATATATGTACACAATAAATTCTAATGTCGTTGCCGTTATTATATAAAAAAATTAAAATAAAAAAAAAGAAGTAAAAACTCTAATTAATCCACCTTTTCAATTTTAGAAGCCCATTGAACTCCATGTAGCACATTCAGAGTACATGATTTTCTAATAGGACAAAATTTAAGTAAAATTTTTGTGTGCAATTAGTGCTGCTCTCTAATTCTAATATATTAGAGTTTTACCTAGACTATTCGAGTTGAAGTTTAATTTCTAATATTCCAATAACTCCACTCAACTCCAACCTTTTGTTTTAAACAAGAAAACAGCATAATCTTAATCATTGAAAGTTTTCACGTCCTTTTCATAATAACACCAGTACACGAGAAACCAGAAACAGATGGCAAAACTTGAACAAAAAGAAAGAAAAATTAACAGCCAAGTGTCTGACAAAGAAATTAAACTGAAAGTGCTTCTGTCAAATGGATCAACTCCACATGGTTGCCAATGCCACCAAAGCCATGCCAAGCGACAACAACATTGTTCCACGAATGCTAACCAAACTCACTGCCCCAGATTTGTTCTGGTCCTGCTTTGCTTCTTCTTGATCCTCTTCAGAAGAGTTGTCCTTAGCAGCTTTGGGAGCCTTTGCAAGAGCTGTAGGAGCCAAAGCTGGAGCCTTATTGGTTAGAAAGAAATCTAGAGGAAGAAGGACCTTGTCCACGTGATATATGCCAAGTTTATTATCCGAGTAGACTACCCCCAGAACTGTGGCATTGACAACCCCAGTTGAAATGTTGACACTGTTACCTAATGCATTCACGTTCAGTGGAAGCCTTGCAGGGTCTTTGCCAGCCACTGTCTGCACAGGGTTGCTTAGAGAATCGAAGTTAGAGCTGGACACAAATTCTGGCAATATGTGGAACTGCACAAGTTCTATTTTCTGGCCTTCGTTTAAAGAGTTGAGGAAGCCTGCTTTGAGGTTGGAAAAAGCAGAATCATCTGGTGCAAGGATGGTTATGCCTCCACTCTTGGCTGTTATGAGCTGTGAGTTTATGTTGTTCATGATTTCGGTGGTTTTGAGGAGCCGGATTAGGACTGAGAACGTTTTGGCCTTTTTGAGGATTCTGGTGATGTCATCTGGGACCGAGTCTGAAGAGTCTGGAGACTGAGGTAATGTTGGGACTAATGGTTTTGGTGATGGTGCTGCAGCCTTTGGGGTAGGGGGAGTTTTTCCTGGGGCTTTAGGGGCTGCTGCGGGTGAAATTGCCAAGGTGGTGGATGAAAGGAGTAGCAAGAGTGAGAAGAAGGAGAAAAGGGTTGCTTGTTTCATCTTCCAGTTGCCAAAATGGCTTTGATGATTGTGGAAGAATGAATTTGTGTTTGTCGTGTGAAATGTATGAAGGAGAGGGGTTATATATACTAGAGAGGCCAAGGAAATGATAGGTTGGTGAAATGTTATGGTTGTGTGAGGGTATATCACATCTCTGCATGAAGAACAAGGATCTTTTATCTAATTATTATTGGGTAGAATGATGGGTACATATATATGGCTTTAGCTAGAAAAATGAAGTTTTACTCCTTTTTCCTTAAAAAAGAATTCCCTTTGGCTAGCATGGGTGTACAGCCACAGCTAGAGAGGAAAATTGAGTTGGGAGGGAAAATGATAAGTATTGGCGGGTACATTAACATGTGAACATGGAATTAACTATATTAACCTTTCACGTCAGAGGCTATTATCATTTATATCAATTGGATGCATGCATATACGATCGAAAATGTAATTTGAAAGGTGACTTTGTATAAATACAAGTATTAACGTCTGAGAAAAATGATATGACAAGATTTATTAAGATCCCCAGGGGAGAAAGATTTCGTGGGAAAGGATATATGGTAACAAAAATTCCTCATTATACATTAAGAGAACACATAAAAAGAGACGTCATAAAAAAATAGAAAAGATAATACTTCGTATAAATTTATTTAACGTGTTTCACTTTCTTACATTTACAAATATGACGACATTTTAGTGAATATTTATTATTTTAAATTTGTTTAATATAGTTTCACCTCTCATATATTCTACAATATTTCGTATAATTTCCTCACTCATTTAGGTGGTATCCATATAGTAAACACGAGGAAGCCTCTAATGTTGACCCCAACATGGTAGCGTCCAAGCATTGGGTGTGCGATAGTGGAAACCATTTATAAGTGATTCAACGTTCAAGTCACTAAGAATTCTGTAGAGTAACAATAAGAGTAATAGAGAGCATACTTAACTTATGCTATGGGACCTTATTTCCAGTGATTATTGTGAAAGGTAAGAGAGAGAAAGCTATTATCTTATATTGACAAGTCATTATTATGGAATGCATTACGTAATGCATAGTATTATGCTTGGATTACCTTATTGATTGTACAAGGCATGATAAGATAATATTAATGTGATTAAGTTGACTTCATCGTGACTAAGTTATTGGCCTCTGTGTATGTGTTTAGGTCGATCTTAGTTTGATTTGGTTGATTTGGTGTGTAAACTACTTTATTTTACTTCTTTTACAATATTTATCTATAAATTAAATAAATAGATTTTTTAATTTATAATATCTTTTTTAAAAAAATATTATTATAGATAAAGTAACATTTTTTTATTTTAATATTATTCTTTTTAATTGTTTCTAAAATCAATCATATAAAGTAAAAAAAAATGTTACATATTTTGCAACATTTTTTTTTGAAAATTATTATTATAAATAAGTAACATTTTTTATCTCAATATTATCCTTTACAATTGTTTCTAAATCAAAGTCTTACATCAAGTTAAAAAATGTCACATAAAAAGTATATGTTTTTCTCATCTCTAATTGTTTCTAATAATTAAAGTTTCACATCAACTACATGGATATTGGTTTAGGGTTTAAGATTATGGTTTAGAACTTATAATTTAGGATTTAAGATTTAGAGATTAATATTTAAGATTTAGGATGTACGATTTAGGATTTAAGGTTGAACATATGATACGTAAATAAAAATAATTTTTAGTAACCGCTATAACTTAACTAACTACATTGGACTAGATGCAACCTTAACCTTTATTAGAACAATTGAAGCGAGCATGAAGTTATCCTACAAGGACTTGAAACAAAAGGATAGCAATAGACATCAAACCACCTCTAAGTAGGGGTTACAAATTGAGTCAACCCACTTAAAGTAGAACAATGCATGTTAACTCACCAAAGAAAATTGGTTAAAAAATACTAGCCATCCCATTTAGGAGTGAGTTGGTAGATTAACTCACTTTAATAAATTAATGAGTTAAAAATGATGGGTTGACTCACCTTCAATCTATCCAATTTTTTAAAAAAAAAAAGAAAATTTTAATTGAAATATTTTAATAATATCACTTCAATCTATATTTTATTATTATTTATAAAATTGATTTAAAGTTCTATATTTTAAGTAAATTTATAAAATTATTTGTTCAATCCAATCCACCAAAATTAATGAATCGACCCGCTAAATTTAACTCACGTGATATCTACCTCTAATGAGATTACCTTCACAAGCGAACTCATTCATGATTATACCCTCTTTTTTAATCCTATCCACAGCAAATAGGAGGCCAGATTTCCGATTTCTTCTAATTTTGACTTTATTTCAAATATGTAATATTTCTTCATCATTTTTTCTCTTTAGAATCATATCCTCATTGGTTCCATGAGTGCCAGAGTAATAATGCATGATCTCTACATTGCACTCTATACATCCAACTGGAGCGAGAGGACCTGCTAAGTGGTAAAGCTTTTTCAAATATCTCAATTGCTTTTCTTCCGTTAACCTGATAGCTGTGTATTCTAAGGATATGGTTATAGGTATAGGATATGCTATTTTTCAAAAATTTAAGATATGGGTACGTTAATGTAATTTAAAAGATATATTTTTAATTATATAATGCAAGTAAATTATATAAATGATAAAAATAATTTACAAATAATAAGACACTTTAACTATAATATCAACAATTAAAATTATAACACTTAAAATATACAGGCTTTTTGACCAAAGTGGGGTCGTTGACCAACTTATTTACGTAAATGGGGCTCTTTTGAAAGTATTTACGCCTTTGGGGCTGTTTACAACGGTGTCGCTATGGCCCATAGCGACACCATGCCACGTGGCAATTTTTTTTTTTTGCTCAAAATGAGTTGGACTGAGCCACATCAGTGTCGCTATGGGCTGGGCCACCACAGTTGATGGACCAACAGAAATGATGTAACCCATAGCGACACCATGTAAGAAAAAAAAAAGAAAAAAAGAAAAATAATTTAAATGTAACTTAAAAATAATAAACTGAGTTATTTATTATATATTTATAAAAATAAAAATAAGTTGTTTAAAAATGTAATTTTAAAATATGTATTTTAATTATTTATAAGAGTGGCGCTATGGCCTATAGCGACACTGTGTCGCTATAGGTCATAGCGCCACTAGTTTATTTGTTTTTTTTTTTTAATTTCCCCTTATTTGGTTCCTTAATTTCCCCTTATTCAAAAGCTGCGGATATAAGCAAGATATAAGAATATTACAAAGAGAAGTAGAATATTCGTGAATAACCAATAGATCATGTCCTTTAATTTGGTTTCCAGTGAGGGAATACGGTTCTGTGTGATGATAATGAGGATAAAAGGAATAGGAATTTTCAGGTGATTTAAGATAAGTTGGGTGAAAGCTCAGTGTGTGACCGTTATTGTGTGATGATAACGAGCACGAAAGAGCACGAGTCGCTATGGCCTATAGTGCCGAAAATTCGCTATAAGCCATAGCGACTTATTTTTTTTTTCTTTTCTTTTCAAATTTTATATTATTAATTTATTTAAAATATTAATTTTATATTTCTATTATTATAAAAATTTATTTAATTTCAATAAATTATTTATTTTATTTTCTTTTATTCTTATTTATATTATTAGCTTTTTTCAAGTTTTATTTTTAAATTTCTATTTTATTCCATTTTATTTTTAAATATTTTTTTCCTTTTAATTATTTTTTCCTTTTAATAAAGAAAATACAGAAAAGATAAATATATAAATATAGATTTATATAAAATTCATAAAATAAATTAAAAAGTGGAAAAAATAAATTAAGTAAATAATTAAAAGTGGCGCTATGGTCTATAGCGACACTGTATGTGTCGTTATAGGCCATAGCGCCACTTTTACAAATTCGTATTTTTTTCAAAAAAATTATTTACTTATTTTTTTATATTTTTTTAATATTAAAAATGGGGCGTTGTAGGCTATAGCGACTTCATTGAAGCCGTTTTGTGTCGCTATGGACTATAGCGACATTATCAATATGGCTTTCATGGCTTCCCTAGAGTTTAAAAATTTTACGTGGCATGGGTGTCGCTATGGGCCATAACGACACCGTTGTAAACAGTCCCAAAGGCGTAAATACTTTCAAAAAAGCCCCATTTACGTAAATAAGTTGGTCAACGACCCCACTTTAGTCAAAAAGCCAATTATAATATCACACTTGAATTATGATATCATATTTTAATTGTAATATATTACAAAGTAACCCTTATTATATTTGTGAAAATAATTACTTTTAATTATGGTTTATCAAGAAAAAGTACTAACTTAAAGAACATCGACCTTTTCAAATGAATCTCATTCATCTCTCCTAATATCTAACATTTTATTTTGGGATCTAATATATATCAAAAAAGTAGTCATGTGAATCCAAATTAAGTACCTATTTGTGTATATATAATTTTTTTTGAAAAATGTTTTTGGACGAGTAACTAATGTGTATAGTGGGTACCCCATATGTGTCCAACATAAATTTTGAAATACCATACATGAATTTTGGAGTACCTATATTTCATAGGTGTAAAACATACACACACAGTTTAAATATTTTGTATCAATCTCACCGTAGCTAAGGGGTCAGGACGTCAGGTTACGAGTTGTGAAATATCAATTCATTCTTGGTTCCTGTCCTTTCATATTAACCATAATGTAAAGAACAAAACAATCATAGGGCCCTTTTTTTATGCATATTGTTTACACTAACCACCCTTTTGTGTAATGTCTGAAAAGTGTTAGAAAATGTTTTTTAAATAATTAAGGAATTATTATAGGGAAAAAAACATGTAATTTGCAATTTTACCAAATCTCAAGAGTTATCAATGTTATCGTTAATCATTCTTTTCAAGGATTCTTGCCCTTTCCATTAACATTTAACACCAATACAGAAGAAACCACAAAATCAGCAAAATTTAAACAAAAATAAAAAGCAGCAAAAAGGACACAAAATAAGAAAAATAAAATGAAAACGCAGCTGCCAAATGGCTCAACTCCACATAGTTGTCATTGCCACCAGAGCTATCCCGAGAGACATCAACTTTGTTCCCCGAAAGCTAACCAAACTTAGTGCCCCAGATTTATTCTGATCCTGATTTGTATCATCTTGATCGTCCTCAGAAGAGTTATCCTTAGCAGCTTTGGGAGCCTTTGCAAGAGTTGTTGGAGCCAAAGCTGGAGCCTTATTGGTTAGAAAGAAATCTAGAGGAAGAAGTACCTTGTCCACATGATAAATGCCAAGTTTATTATCCGAGTAGACTACCCCGAGAACTGTGGCATTGACAACCCCAGTTGAAATGTTGACACTGTTGCCTAACGCATTCACGTTCAGTGGAAGCCTTGCAGGGTCTTTGCCAGCCACTGTCTGCACAGGGTTGCTAAGAGAATCGAAGTTTGAGCTGGACACAAACTCGGGCAAGATGTGGAACTGCACAAGTTCAATTTTTTGGCCTTCGTTTAGGGAGTTGAGGAAGCCAGCTTTGAGGTTGGAAAAGGCAGAATCATCTGGTGCAAGGATGGTTATGCCTCCACTCTTGGCTGTAATGAGCTGTGAGTTTATGTTGTTCATGATTTCAGTGGTTTTGAGGAGCCGGATTAGGACTGAGAACGTTTTGGCCTTTTTGAGGATTCTGGTGATGTCATCTGGGACCGAGTCTGGAGAGTCTGGAGACTGAGGTAATGTTGGGACTAATGGTTTTGGTGATGGTGCTGCTGCCTTTGGGGTAGGGGGTGTTTTTGCTGGGGCTTTAGGGGCTGCTGCTGGTGAAATTGCCAAGGTGGTGGAGGAAAATAGTAGCAAGAGTGAGAAGGAGAAAAGGGTTGCTTGTTTCATCTTCCAGTTGCCAAGTCAAGCTTGTAGATGGCTGTAATTTGATGATTCTGGAAGAATAAATGTGAAGAATGGTTCTTGCAATTTGTGTTTGATTTGTGGGATGTGAGAAGGAGTGGGGTTATATAGATTACAGAACAGGGAAACAATAGGTTGGTGACATGTTATGGCTGTGAAATTTGTAAGGTCTGTTGTGTGAGGGCATATCCCATCATCTGTCACGGTGAACAAGATCTTTTATCTTATTATTTTTGCCATATTTGCCAAACTAATGCTTTAGGTAACATAAATTGGGGTGCATATTGAGTTTGGTATGGTGAGCTGAGAATGAAATAACGTGTGTAGTGTAGTTGGAGAAGGGGAATGACAATGTAGAGAGGCTACAGAGGACCCCTAAAAAATAACAAGGTTGATTTTTCCTTTTACCATATTAGCTCCCTAAAATCTCAATGGATTAATAACAAATTATATGAATTGTATAGTCCATAAAGAGGAATTTGGAATAAAAAACTATGATCCTGATACATGTTAGTGGAAATAATTCAAAAATACTTTTAAGCTTTAATTTTTGTTCTTCATATTGAATCGTTTTAAGTTTAAGTTTAGACTTTGAGGATAAATTGAAACATGAAATTTTCACATTAAAAGTTTTGATCTTTCATTTTGTCCATGAATAATATAAAAGAATAAAGACATCACAACATTCTTTTAGCACAAATGGAAACAAGACATTTTACCTCGCATAAAGTTCTCAATTTGGATATAGATTCACTCTTGTTAAATGAATGATGTCATTGTTAAGAATGTAAAGATAAATAATTTTAAGATAATTATGATATTTCACGCACAATGGATCTTTATACAAGAAAGTATAACAGAAAAAGCTAAAAATCCTTCGGATATTAAAGCTAAATTTGAATTTTTTTTACATTATCTTTTTTTATACACACATGCATATACTTATTGAAAAAGGAAAAAAAAAAGTCTTTCTGTTTTTTTTTTATTTCTCTTTTTCTATCTCTTTTCTTAAAATGATTTAGTATTTTATGGAGTAGAAAGAAAACGTAAATAAATTATGTGAAGTAATTTTTTTACACAGAAATTCATTGTCTTTTTAATTTAAGAACATGCATACATTTATAGTTTCATTATTCGTATGTCAAAAAGTCGACATTATATGTGAAATTGTACACAAATTTTTTTACTTATTTTTTTTTTCATATATACACATCTCAAAAATTACATTTTAATTTTAAAATAAAAAGTAACAACTCTTTATCGTCCCAAAATTTGTGTTCTAATTTTTTTTGCAAATCTTTATTAGCACTAAATATATGGTTTGGGTAAATCTCCACAGGACATAAATAAGTTTAAAATCTTAACAAAAAGAATTTAGAAATTGCAAAGTTATTTTAGATATCTGCTTTTGTTTTATCAGGAATTATTACTATAATTTCAACTCAATTTAACTTGAATTCGTATCGGAAGGTTGAAATTATTACTTAAGATGTTCTAAAATGCATGGTTGTCATGTCAAGCCTGAGGGAAGAGTGAGAAGGAGAAAAGTGTTTCTTGTTTCATCTTCCTGTTAAGTCCAACCTGTTGATGGCTTTGATGCTTCTGAAAGAATGTGAATGGTTGGAACGCTTAGTACAATTCGTGTTCGAAGTTTGGAGGATTGGGGTTCTAAATAGACTAATAGAAGCCAAGGAAATGATTGGTTGGTGAAATGTTTTGTGAAATTTGTAGTTGTGTTGTGGAGGGTATATCCCATCTCATGGAGAATGGGGATTTGTTATCTAATTATTATTGGCAACTTGGCATCATTGCTGATAATGACATCTGAGATACATGACATTTGATAACTATCATATTCACATGATAATGGACACATCTTTTGTAAAAGTAATGTAGTTGGAGAAAGGGAATGACAATTGCAGAGGATCCCTGAAAAACAGCAAGGAGTTCCTGCAATTTTGTATATCTATAAGATGCAAAATACAAAGTTTTAATGAATTTTTATATAATAATAGAATGAGTGTTAGTAAAAGAGCATCAGAAAGAATGTCTCTACTATTCTTATGAAAAATTGGGAATAAGTGTAATTGATATAAATGCAATTGTCGTAGCAATGTTGGGATTCCAAAATCCTTAACAGGTGCAAAATATTTTTTTAATGAAATTCAATAACATGGATCAGAAGATAGAGAAGAGTCTTTGATACAAATCCAGCGTAATATTGTACTAATAAATTCAACAATTTTGGGAGTTAGTATAAATGGATTGGAACTTGGCTACAGGCAAAACAGGGATCAGGTCAAGAATAATACATAACATAACATGATGGTCCTAAACAGGCAAGTATTTCCCAAAAAAGGCCTTGTGCCCTACACTTCTATTTATGCCCAAAAATTGCAGTTTTAGACTTTAAAAAGATGAAAAATAGATAATTTTTAATAAGAACTAAAATTAAAATTTGTTCATTCTACATAAAACAAAGAATTACAATTCAAAATTTCAAAAGAATGAATCGTAAAAAAAATACACATGTACTAAAATCAAAATTTATCTATTTATATAACCTAAAAACATAGTTAAATTGAATTTTAACTTTTTCTCCATCTCAATCTAATTCTTTAAAGCTATTTTAGGACAAATATAAAAACAATGTGTGCTTGAACCTAATTTCATCCTAAACTTCTAAGATAAGTCTTGTGTTTATATATATATTATTTTGATCTTATTGTTAGTTGATACAAAGAAATCTTTAAATCTCTTACACAGAATTAAACATCTCAAATTTGAAATTTTTAGAACTATTCATTTGAGGTAACCTAATAATATAAAGTTTAAATTTAACTCAATCATACACTATTTTGTTTTTATCATTAGTCGGATCTCCTGACAAGATCCCCAGGAAACAAAAGAAAAAAGGATTAACGTGAAGCACTTCAGATATCCAACAGGGAGAGCCTGCCAAGTGATAAAGCCTTTCCCAATATCTCCATTGTTTCTGTTATCCTCATTCCATCCCTTGTTAGCTGTAAAACACAGACACTTGGTTTCAAAATTTTGGGAGTTATGAAAGATGAATTGATTTCTGTCCTTCCATAATATATAACCCATAATGTTAGGAACAAATCAATTATGGTTCAACAGCAGAATCGTTAATCATTCATTTCAAGGATTCTTGCCCTTTCCATGACACCAATACACAAGAAACCACAAACACGTAGCAAAATTTAAACACAAAAAAAAAAAGCAAAAAAACATGAAGTAACTGAAATAGAAGTTTCCAAATGGCTCAACTCCACATGGTTGCCAATGCCACCAAAGCTATCCCAAGTGACATCAACGTTGTTCCGCTAATGCTAACCAAATTCACTGCCCCAGATTTATTTTGATCCTGATTTGTTTCATCTTGATCATCCTCAGAAGAGTTATCCTTAGCAGCTTTGGGAGCCTTTGCAAGAGTTGTTGGAGCCAAAGCTGGAGCTTTATTGGTTAAAAAGAAATCTAGAGGAAGAAGCACCTTGTCCACGTGATATATGCCAAGTTTATTATCCGAGTAGACTACCCCCAGAACTGTGGCATTGACTACCCCAGTTGAAATGTTGACACTGTTACCTAATGCATTCACGTTCAGTGGAAGCCTTGCAGGGTCTTTTCCAGCCACTGTCTGCACAGGGTTGCTTAGAGAATCAAAGTTAGAGCTGGACACAAATTCTGGCAATATGTGGAACTGCACAAGTTCTATTTTCTGGCCTTCGTTTAAAGAGTTGAGGAAGCCTGCTTTGAGGTTGGAAAAGGCAGAATCATCTGGTGCAAGGATGGTTATGCCACCACTCTTGGCTGTTATGAGCTGTGAGTTTATGTTGTTCATGATTTCGGTGGTTTTTAGGAGCCGGATTAGGACTGAGAACGTTTTGGCCTTTTTGAGAATTCTGGTGATGTCATCAGGGACTGAGTCAGGAGAGTCTGGAGACTGAGGTAATGTGGGGACTAATGGTTTTGGTGATGGTGCTGCAGCCTTTGGGGTAGGGCGAGTTTTTGCTGCAGGGGCTTTAGGGGCTGCTGCAGGTGCAGGTGAAATGGCCAAGGTGGTGGAGGAAAGGAGTAGCAAGAGTGAGATGGAGAAAAGGGTTGCTTGTTTCATCTTTCAGTTTCCAAGTCAAGCCTGTAGATGTCTTTAATTTGATGATTCTGGAAGAATGTGAATGATTGGAACTAATGGTTCTTGCAATTTGTGTTTGCTGTGTGGGATGTATGAAGGATTGGGGTTATATAGTGGCCAAGGAAATGATAAGTGGGTGAAATGTTATGGGCTTTTTTGGCTGTGAAATTTGTTAGTTGTGGAATGTGAGGGTATATCCCATCTGTCATGGAGAATAAGGATCTTTCATCTAATTATTATTGGCATATTTGCCAAACCAATGCTTTAGGTGACATGAATTAGTGTAAATATTGAGTTTGGATATGGTGAGTTGAGAATAGACATATGAAAGACCTGTTTTTAACATCTTTGTAGTATGTAGCTGAAGAAGGGGAATGACAATGTAGACAGGCTAGGGAGAGAACCCCTCAAAAATACCAACAAGCAGCTGCAATTGTTGTGTATATCTTTAAGATGTAATTTAATAACATTTATCAGGAAACAGAGAATGAGCCATTGACACAGATCCCCATAGTACAACTAAATTCTTGAAGTTCAGCAATTTTGGGAGTTAAGTAATTGGATTGGAACTCCTCCTACTGGCATTCTGCATTTCCACTTCAAATAGGTGATAATTGGGAGTGTTGGTTTTTCTTTTTACGGTATTACCTCCTTAAAATCTCACTTGATTAACAACAAAATATATGAAGAGTAGTCCTTAAAGGGGACTCTGGAATCCAAAACAATGTTCCTTATACATATCAGTTGATATATTTCAATAATACTTTTAAGCTTTACTTTTTGCTTCTTCATAAAACATTTTAACCATATAAAGTTTTCATTTTAGGATATAGATCCACACTTCTTGCTATATAATAGATTTTATTGTTAAAAAAATATGAACACGGAATTTTAATTGACTCCTTACCCGATAGTCATGTAATTCCATCTCTTATCTATCATTTTACTTATAAGAAAAACAAATAATTTTGATTTAATTATTATGTTTCTTACATGCTGGATCTTTATACCAGAAAGTTTGCCAGGAAAAGCTAAAAATCAGTCGCATTTTAAAATAATATAGTAATTAATTCAAGTTAGGATGACTATTTTACATTACTTCTTTTATACACCTGTACTTATACTTGATGAAGAAAGAGGCGTTTGTGCTCTCTGTCAATAAATGTATGGCTATTTATAGAGAGACAACAAATCACAAATCTTGTAATGTATGAAATTTAAGTAATTTTACAATCTGTCACTAAATATATGGTTATTTATTGACAGACAACGAATCACAAATCATGTAATGTATGATATTTAAGTAATTATTGTAAAATTCAATAAAATTATCATATATGTCAAATTATGATTGAATGACGGTGTCAAAAATCTTTACACTTTTGGTATATAGACTTTTTTTTTTAGTTTCAAATCTTAACAAAAAAATTTAGAAAATGAAAAAGTTGTTTTAGAAATGTTTTATTTATTTATTAGGAATTATTACTATAATTTAACTCAATTTTAACTTAAATCATTCCGTATCCAAGCCATATTTCAGCGTTGCCTTTTAAGATATTTCATCTTCCAGTTACTAAGTCCAGCCCATAGATGGCTTTAATATTGCTTCTGAAAGAATTTGAATGATTGGAATGCTTCTTACAATTTATGTTCGATATTATGAGGATGGGAGTTATAAATATACTAATAGAGGCCAATGAAATGATGGGTTGGTGAATTGTGTTTAACAGCTTGTGAAATTTGTAGTTGTGGAGGGTATATCCCATCAGTTGTGGAGAATGTGGATTTTTTTCTCTAATTATTATTGGCATCTTTGGTGATAAGGGATAAGAACCTGAAAAATAGAAAGGAGCTGCTGCAATTGTTTTGTATATCTATAAAGATGTAATTTAGTAACATGGTCAAGAAATAAAGGAGACACTGAGATGATGTTTTTCATCATTGCATTGATGGTTTGATATACTATATTAAGTAAAAAAAACAATCTGAAAAGTATTAGCATTTTCCTCTAGCTAAAGAACCATATCCACAATGGTTAATGAAGCTAAAAAAATAGTATGACTATTTTTTTATATTCATATCGGCTTTTCGATGATTAATTTATGTTGAAAAAACTAACTGGCTACATTTAATGGAGTTTTATCTCCCAACAACTAACTCCATGAAGTTGGAGATGAAAATGTTGGTTCTCTTAATTGTATCAAAATCACACAAAAAGAATCTTAATTGTTTCAAAAGAAAAACATGTGAACAACTCAACACTTCACATGTCCCTCAAACATCAATCTTCATATGCTGATCAGAATAAGAATATAAAGTCAAAATCATCAAATAGATTGGCTGGTCTGGTCTAGCCAGTCTTCAACTTGATATAATCACCATTGCAACTAAGGCAACTCCAAGGGACACCAATGTTGTTCCTTGTGTACTCGTCAAACTGCATGCACCAGCGCTGTCCTTGGATGTTCCAAGACCATCGGTAGATGAGTTATCATTATCAGCTTTTGGCTCTATTGCAGGAGAGGGTGCAGGAGCTGGTGGCTTAGGCTTGAAGAAGTCCAAAGGAAGAAGCACCTTGTCCACATGATATATTGCTAGCACCTTATCTGAGTACACAATTCCTGTGACCGTGGCATTAACCACTCCTGTTGAGATATTCACATTGTTGCCATATGCTGTCACATTTAGTTGCAACCTGGTGGGGTTATCCCCGGCTAGTGTTCTCACAGGGTTGCTTAGAGAATCAAAGTTTGAGCTTGAAACATAAGTGGGAAGGATATGGAACTGCAGAAGTTCAATCTTTTGATTGTCAGCCAGTGAGTTGAGGAACCCAACTTTGAGTTGTGAAAAGCTACCATCATCTGGTGCAAAGATGGTTAAGCCACCTGATTTTATAGTTATGAGCTGAGAACTGATTTGGTTGATCAATTGGGTGGTTTTCAGTAGGCGAATTAGGACGTTGAATGATTTGGCCTTCCTTAGTATTTTGATGATGTCATCAGTGGAAGAATCAGAGTTGTCTTCAGAGGGTGAGTGGGGTAGTGTTGGCACAATTGGTTTTGATGGGGCTGCATCAGGTGCTTGGGCTAATGTTGTGGTTGAATATAAGGTTGAAAAAGGCATGATAAGTAAGAGGGAGAACAGAACATGCTTCATTTTGCTATAGGCAATTGCAAGTTGCTATTGAAATTTGAAGGCTCTAGAGTAAAGTAATAAAGTTGCTTTGGTGCTTTTCAACGATTGCAGGTGATAGGTTAGTAATTTTATTAGGATGAGTGTTTGATGTGTGGAAGATGTGGAGTGAGGTGTTTTTATAGGGACTAGGTGAATGATTGGCAGGATAAAAGCATGAAGCTTTGGTGATGAAATTTGCGTATATTCTTGTGTTGTGAGTGAGATCTGTGGTGGTCCTGGTGGAGATTAAGGTGGTGCATCAAGGTAGATGAGATAAAGTTTATTGAGAAAAAGATTTGCCTCCTTTTGCTTGGCAATGCAGGAAAAAGAGGAGTTGGTTAGAACTCATTTGGGTGAGAGATGCACATTAATGAAATTGTGATGCTTTTCCGCTGATAAGCAGTAAGCTGAAACAAAACCTGAGGCTTACTAAGTGCTTACAGTAGATTCTGAGCTTTTCATAATTGTTATTAATTGTAATTATAATTAAATTTTTCACTAAAGTCTTACACTTTCTTCTTTTAGGAAATGAAAAGGTTTGGTGTAGAATTCTGTATTCTTAACTAAAATGTTTCACAAAATATGCTTGGGTTAATGCAGCCCCCACTTCAGATCACTATATATTAGACTATTGCATTTACATGTGTTTAATGTTAATCATCATCATCATTAGATGACCCCTGTGCACTTAGAAATAAGTGTAATGAGATTATCTTATACCGCATAGAATTAAGAATGTCTCAAGTCGTCAAATCTCCAAGGCAAGCTAGTTATCTCAAGGATGCTCAACTATGGAGGTGCTTTTGCAAGAAAAAAGACACCTTAATGACTAATGAACTAGAAAATTGATCGTAAAACTACCTAAAAGCTTATGAATGGTTTCATTTCATATATGTTACCTAATTTAAATTACTACTATATTGTGAGGGTCCGGATCTTGTGGAGGTTTAAAAATCTTATATTGGTAAGTTGTTATCATTAGATTAGATGCAATAAAAGGTTAAGATTTTGCCACCTTTTTATACAGTTTTGAAAAGAAAAGAAGTATACTCTTCCCCAACTTTTATATTATTTAAATGAATAGAACACTTGCCATTTCATTTTCCTCGTTGAATTGCAATATAAAAGAACCTTATGGATTTAAATCCTCCCGTTAATCCAAGTACCATTAGTTAACTTGAAGTTGGCTTGGGATGCTATCATTTCTTAAATAGTCTTATTCAGTAGATGCAATTTGGATGATTCAGCAAGAGATTACTAAAAATGAATTTTGTATTTTCTAATAAAGTCCTTTTTTAAAACATAACAAAGGATTGATATGAGGATATTACAGCTCCCTTCTACACTTTGCCAGCCAGAAGCAAATAATTGTGGAGATTTTCTTGATGGAATAATAAGGGTCATATGAGGATGATGCTTTGGGCTTTGGAGTTTGATTCCAACCTCCTTTAAGGTTTCGTAAGTTATTATTTTTTAGTTTTCATATGAATCTTTTGGGCATTGCTTTTATTAGTGGTTAGCTCCTTTTCTTGTCTTTGTTTCCACCAAAAAACGCTTGATAATTTAGCGCATTTTTTTTCTGGACTATTGACGGATGTGAGAAAATCAATGCATTTCATGCTAAGTTTGCTTTTGTTGCTCCAAAAGTCACACCCTCTAAAATCAACCCTTTCAATTTAGATTTTTTTTAAATATTTTCAAACTGATATTTAAGAATTAATTTTTTTCGAGACAAATTTCCAAACTGAATTTTATTTTTCTTAATGATTGTTTTTCACATGCACGTATAGTTGGAAATCCAAGCTTCTTAGTATGTTTGATAGATCCGATTATCTCCTATTTGAAACAATGTCATTTAAAGTTAGGCGGCAAATGCTCTTAATCATTATTAAAAATAATAATAATTCAGCCAACTTTTTTCCGGATCTGCCCATCAAAAGTTCTCTTCCACACCTTTCATATTATTTTAAGACATAAATGTATTTTTAATTTTTAAAATTTAGAATAAATTAATTTTTTATTTTCAAATTTAAAATCATTGATTTTAAACCTATAATTTTCAAAATTTTATTTTTAATCTTTCAGATCATTTATAATATATTTAAAAGTAATAGACAATTATACATAATTAATTGTGTTTAATGTGTAATTTTTTCTTTTTATCCATTTCGAATCAAACCGTATTTAATATGATATTTTTACTAATAGAGACATTAGTAGATAGGGATGGCAAAAATACATGCGGGTGGATAAAACCCGCTACAGATAATAAATGGATAGGCTAATTGGGTACCCGCGGATAATGGGGACGGATAATTTTTTACCCGTTTATAAATGGGGCGGGGCGGGTATGATGATATCCATACCTGCGAGTACCCTTTTAATATTATTTCTTAAATATCATAATTATCCTTGTACCACATAACCCTAAAACTACACTCTCTCATCTGATAATTTTTTACCCGTTTATAAATGGGGCGGGGGCGGGTATGATGATATCCATACCCGCGGGTACCCGTTTAATATTATTTCTTAAATATCCTAATTATCCTTGTACCACATAACCCTAAAACTACACTCTCTCATCTTATTTTCTTACAAAAGTGAGGTTGATGAAGTTACCGACATGTGTTAAGCATATTATAGAATTATGTTGGATGTAATTTGATTAATTTTCTAGCTTTGATTGGACTAATAAGATTTATGTATTTTAAGTTATTTACTTTCATTTGCAATTATGAGATTGAATTATTGTAGTTTTGTGATGAGACTTTAACTTATTTATGAGATTGATATATTTTAAGTTATTGATTATCTTGAATTTTTATTATTATTTCAACAAAATTAACGTTAAATAAAAGTTCAAAATTAACATTAAATTTTTATTTTTAATATTTTAATGACATTAAAATATAAACTTAAAATAATTTATAATATAATTCTTTTAATTTCTTAAAAATTTTATAAATATCCATGAATATCCATGGATATCCGTGAGTATTCAAGAAATTCATGAATACCCGCGCGGATATGAGATGGGTATGGGACCAATTTTTATTCAGCAGAGCGGGGGTGGGTTTACTATTACCCGCCTCCATGGAGCCCCATTGTCATCCTTATTAGTAGATAGGTTTTATGCAACTAATAGATTTCCTAAAAAAATTAAGTATAAAAATTAAAACAAGATTTTTTGAAATTACAAAACTAAAGAGATCAATTTTAAATTTGAATGACTAAAAATATATTTAAGCCTTATTTTAAATATATTATATTATAGTAAAAAGGATTTTTTAATATCTTTAAAATTTTAAACACTTTTGTACTTTTTTTATTTTACAATTAAAAAAATTATTAGGATGGATTATAAAATTATAAACTATTTCTTGAACACAAAATCGAACAGAAAAAATAGTCTTTTTAATTTTGTGATATATTTTTATAGATGTATGCAAAAAAAAAAAAAGGTAAAAACAAAAAAGAAGCAAAACTCTAAAATCATTGCATATATACAATGTCACATTATGTGAAAAATATTTGGAAAATGTTAGACGCCACTCATGTTTAAACACTTTGAAAGAGATAAGAAGAGAGAAGCTTTGAAAGAGATAAGAAGAGACAAGAAGAGACAAGAGATATGTAATGATATGAGATAAAGACAAATGTAACCGTCAAGTATTGTTTGGTTGTTTGAAAATGTGAGTGTCTAAAACAAATAAAAACCCAAAAATTTTATTGATCAAATTATAAAACTCTGAAATTATTGACCGGAAACTGTAAAAGGTATAATAAAAGTAAGCAAAACTTTTGTATCATTTTTCTATTAAAAGATCTTTGTATGCAAGCTTATACACAAATTTCTCATAAGTAATACACAAGATATGAATTTTTTCTTATGGGGGGAAGAGAACAACTAGTAGAACAAAGAAAGCCTTCATAAATCGAATATACATAATTTTCACGACAACCTTAAACTCGATTCATCAGAAAGGAAAATAAAACAACAAAAAAAAAGCCAATTATTTAAAATCACTGAATCTGCAAAATGTTGATCACCATTCACCTTTCCATGATTCCATCCACCCCATATGGTACCTTCAAACAATGCTTTCATCGTCACCACGAAAACGCTGCAACCAAAACTGTAACAACAACCCACATAACATGCCGTTGTTTCACACTGATAGCAGCAGATTCAGCATCATCTGCTTCAGTTGCAGTGCTGTCTGCAGATTTCTTCTTCGACCCTTTAGACTTTTCTGGCGCAGGAGCTGGAGCAGGAGGCTTAGCAACAAAGAAGTCACGTGGAAGAAGCACCTTGTCCACTTGATACACCGCAAGTTGGTGATCAGTGTACACAGTGCCACCCAATGTAACGTTAACTATTCCCGTTGTCATGTTCACTTGGTTTCCTCCTGAGCTTGTTATGTTAAGTGCCAACCTATCAGGGTTTTCACCAGCTTGTGTTCTTACAGGGTTGCTTAGAGTGTCAAAGTTTGACGTGGAAACGTATTGGGGTAGCAAGTGGAACTGGATGAGCTCATTCTTTTGTTGGTCATTGAGGGAGTTGAGGAAACCTGGTTTGAGGCTTGAAAAGGCGTTGTCGTTTGGTGCAAATAGGGTTAGGCCACCGTTTGAAGTGAGGAGTTGGGAGTTGATTTGGTTGGAGACTTGTGTGGTTTGAAGGAGGCGGATTAGGGTTGTGAAACCACCAGCCTTTTTGAGGATTCTGATGATGTCTGTGGGGGCTGAGGAAGGTGTCGGCGCCGGGGTGGCCACCGCACTGGCGGTGGCCG